GATTCCTTTACGTGATTTACATACATCGTCATTCTAATTACTTCCGAAAAACTTTAACCTTAATTTTAACCTTAGAACTGTAAATTAAGCTGGATTTGTGAATGAAATCAGATGCAATGTTGAGCACGATTCCTTAATTTTAATCTCTGGGCAATGCCAATGAAATCCATCATGGATGAAATTCATTGCAATGTTGAGCAGGATTCCTTTTGATGGTGCTTCAGAGATGTATGCTATTAAGCTGGATTTGTGAAGCATTCATCTTGATTTGTGAAAAGTTATTACATATAATTTGTATTTATGTTCGGTTCCGTGTTTTTAAGATATCCATTTTATAGACTAAAATATAATTTTAGAATATTTCTTTAATTTGTATTTATTACAACACTATTTAATACATAAAATTACTTGGGAATGACAAGGTTTATGTGTTTCCATCATTGGAGGTGCTTATCATTGTTTCAGGCTCTTCATTTTAAGAGTAAAGATGCCATCAAATGCTTAACATACATGATGCAAAATAGCCATGAGCCAAAAAGCTTTGCATACAAATGTCACTTATACGAGTAACTGAATTATTGTTACTAATTGATAAAAACTAGCTTTTTAAATGACTTGGTAATGATAAGGGCATTTTTATAAATGCCGCTCAATTCCAAAATATTTATATGTCTAACACCTAAACTTTACTTTCTACATTTGTACCAAACTATTCTTTCATATCACATAAAAGCATACTACCATTTTAACTTTTAAAAAGAGATACAACTTTTCATACATAGGTAAGGTGGCATTTATGTAAAAGTTGGAAGTTTAGGGGTTATATATTTAAATACATAGTATGTGTAGCTTTGTAAATGAATGCTTTTTTTTTTTTTATATTCTTTATGTAAAGCTTCCTTTTTTTTATATTCTTTCTTTTACATATCTAAACTTTATGTTTTACATTTATAAGACCCAAAGAATGCTGTCATTTTATGTATGTAAAAATTGAAGTACAGGTGTTACATGTGTAAATACATAGGAATTGAGCTAACACCCAAACTTCAATTTTACCATATATAATGCCTTACATTTCCATGAAAATTTGTATTTCACTTTTTAAAAGTTTAAAGAATGGTTTTTTTTTATGTGATATGAATGATTTGGGTGGTATAAACGGAAAAAGTAAAGTTAGTGTTAGACATGTAAATACTTAAGAATTGGGTTGTATGTATGTAAATCATCCTTTTTTTTAGTGCAGCATATGCTTGTTTTTTTTTTGTGAAACATGAACTACTTGTACGTAATTTTAGATTATTTTTATTTGAATTTTTTAAAAAAAATATCAAATTTATGACTTCTGGGATTGACTAAAAGTTGTAGAAGTCTATTTTTTACATTTTTAGTTTGTAAAATGAATTTCTGCTTTTGTTGTATCATATATAAGACTGTCATTGTTCTATTCCAAACAGTTTAATTAAACAGGGGCATAATTGTCATTTTTTCAGAAACAGCTGCCTCACAGCTGTTTTCACACAGCTGAAAACAGCAGACAGTGCCTGCAACAACCACCCAGCCAGCTCCCCCACAGCAGCTTCCTGAGGCAGCGCAGCTGCAGCTAAAAAGCTGAAAAGCTGCAGTTGCACCAAACAGAGCCTTAACCTATGTTCAATTACTCTCTCTCATATTTTTAATGTATGACACATTAACTTAATTCCTCTATAATTTGCACACTCTTGTGCATCCCCTTTATTCTTAAAGATGGGGACCAAAATACACTTTCTCTACTCTCCAGGCATCTTTTTAGTTTTTTAAAATAATATTAAAAAGTTTAGTAAACCAAAAACTCCAATATCTCCTAAATATTTCCACACTTTAATTGGAATATCATCAGGTTCTATTGATTTTCCACCCATGATTTTCTTTAGTCTCCACAACTTTTTTCACAAATGTGAAAGTAAAAATAATAACTTTTATTATTATTAACAATATTAAGATCACTAAGGTTGATTATATTTTCAGAAACTTCATTGAAAAGTTTATCAAAATATTTTACCCACCTATGTTGAATATATTCCCTCTAAGAAAAAACACATCTTAATTTTCATTTTTAATACACTATACTTGAATTAAATCTTTGTTTTTCTTTTCTCTTTATTTGGCTAGATTATACATATATTTTTCACCCTCTTTAGTATCTAATCTATTATTAAGATCGCTAAAAGTCGAATTGCTAGTATCACAAATTGTTCTCTTAGACTCTCTATAGTTCACCTTATATTTTTTCAAGTTTTCTAAGCTTTTATATTTAAGCTAATTTTTATAACAAAATTTCTTATACTTTATCTTTTCTTGCATATTATTATTTCACCACCAACTATTTTTATTTATAAAAAAATTCTTTTTGAATTCTCTGTGTACATCTTTTGTCACTTAGGGTCCATTTGGGGCAGCTTATTTCGTGCGATGGCGTTTTGAAAACGCACCTGACCTGTTTGGGTAAACTGCATTTTTGCAGCTAATGCGTTTTCAAAACGCTGAAAACAGCGTTTCCGCACCGCACCTGTCTGGGTGCGGTGGCAGTTTTCTGGCTGCGGTCTGGCTTTTTCAAAAAAATTAAAAATTTGTAATATCTACCGCACTTAGCTTATCAGCAGATTATTTTTAATTAGTTTATCAGCAGATTATTCAATAAGCTGCAGCTGCCCCAAACATACCCTTATTCAATAGTACTTGTTATTTTCTCCCACATTGAATTAGCTTTTTCTTGAACATTCCAAATCTTGAAATCTTGAAGTTTACTCATAAAAATAATTTTATTTATTTCAGGTGCCCCTATCTAACTATATAACAATGTTTCATTATATTTTATCTTCCGACTTCTCATCTTAAAATTCAAACTTAATAATCGATGTTGAGACTTAAATTTTCACCTAATATGATCTTATAATCTTTATATTCTCCACAATCTCTTTTTCTCATAAGAAAAATTTTTATGAGTTAAAAACTTTGATACAGATTTCTTAAAGGAAGATTTTTGTCAAAAAAACAAAAAGAACAAAACTTGAGAATGTTGTAGCACCTAAAAGAGAACCATGTCATAAGATAGACAACCACAAACTTAAAGAGGCTTAGACTTAAACTGAAAGATATATGAGCCATTCAAATTCCTTATGGACACGGCATAGGTGTGATTTTAATTGAACTGTTTACTTTTAAATTTTTTAATATCTAAATTGTTCCATAAGTTAAGCTTGTATAGTTCATTTGCTAATTGCTATTTGTATGAAGCCATCAAAACATTATCATAGAAAATCTCCAAACATGCATTCAATCTGAAGCAAAACTTTTAATATAGAAGAGAACGATATAGTTGGATGATGCCTAGAATCATTCAATATCCATCATTATAACCAATGGAGATTGAATGAAACTTCTAAGTACTCGAAGCTTTTTCTACGTGATAAACAATTGAAGAGTTTATGCAAAAATGAATTGCTACAGAAAACTTTGGATAAAACCACTAGTATGGAAAAAAAATTAAAATTGGGTAACAAAGGCCTATGCAAATGTACAAAGCCACCATGGTAGATTTGGTACGGAAGAAAATTCTTCCCTATGGAATATAAAGTAAAAAAGTACACCTAGAATTTGATTCAGAGAAACTTTCAGTCCAAGAATGGAGATGGAAAATTCCCAGAAATCAATGAAAAAAATTTAAGACAAAAATAAAAGAGATGATATGGCATAAAAAGAAAATTGTACGGAGAAAAAATTGGCATGTCAGATAAGCTAGGTTAGCTTTTAACAAAGGATTTAGCATTGCATCATTAAAACTATGACGTAACAAATGGTGGTTAGACCTGCAATGGTCTATGACGCAAAATATGGCCTTTCAAAGAGAAGCATAAAACAAAGTTAAGTGTTGTTGAGATGAGAATGCTTAGGTGGATGAGTGGCTTGACACTTAGAGATAATGTGTGAAATGAATATGTCTATAATAGAGTTGGTGTAGCTCAAGTGGCGGACAAGATTAGAGAGAGTCATCTTAGATGGTTTGGCCACATTAATCGTCAACCATCTAGGAGAGTATATGTTTTAGATTAGTTTTATGTTGAGAAAGGCAATGGTAGACCTAAAAAACCTTGGGCTTATTGAATAAAAAATGAACTTAATTAATTTTAATTAAATGAAAACATGACACTCAATAGGACGCAATGGAGAAAAAAATTCATGTAGCCAAGACCATTTATTGGGATAAAGCTTGTTGTTATTGTTGTTGTTGATGTTGTCGTACTAAGCTAACTTATTAATGGGAAAAAATTTAAAAGTAACTATAGTCATTTAACAATGGAAGATTTATAGATATAAGTATTTTTTTCTAATTAATTCTTGGATTTCAATTGTGCCAAGAATAAATAAGTTTTTTTTTACCTTTCAAGGGTATTGAACAAAGAAGGGCAATTCACACTAAAGCGCACAAATTAAGTTTCCTAACTTGTGGATTCCTGAAACCAACCAAAACAATCCAAAGGCAAACAAAACTTGGAGAACCCCGAGAGAAAATTTAAGGCCATCAACAAAAGCAACACATGAACATAGTACTCAGAAGGTTTTGTGATTGATTAAGCATTAGTGCTTTCTTCAACAAATTCTAACCTCTGAATAGCAAAATGCAGGTTAAACTGGTTATAAGCTCAACCGAAGCAAGTTCGTTTGCATCACAAGACTTGGAGCACTTGAACACTAAATATGTTTTTTATCTATCAGCTATCACTGTAATTTGCTTAACTTCACGATTGCAAAGCTATTTCCTTTTCCAGCATTGTTGTAATAAACAAATGGTGATAAAATTCATCATTAACATCCCAGCCCAAATGGTAATTTATCCAAAGAGACACAAGTGCCACGCAAGATCTATGCAGAAAAGCTCCTAGGTTTACACTCTACCAAAAATTCTACGCAGAAGCTATCGTACAACAGAACACATTTCATAACAAACGAGTCACACAACGCACCGATAGTAGGGGAGAGATCTTCAAAGGAATCTGATGTGAATCTCAGAAGGAGGCTGCTCTTCCCTACTCCAGAATCCCCAATCATGAGAAGCTTGAACAAATAATCAAACTCTGGTTGGCTTGAAGAAGATGGATCCATCGAATTGCTCCAGCGGGACTAGAAGAGGAAAGGAAATAAGCATGAATCAGAACAAAAGCATTACAACTAGTAAGGTCGACAATTTCTGTCAAGAAAAACCTAGAAGAATATCGGAGTAGCTCAAAACGAATCTGCAAACAACTCCAAAGAAGTCGATTCGGGAACCGAAAATTGCAGAGTACGAAAAGTGAACAGTAAAAGCAAAGGGGTTCGTCGGGATTTACGACCCAAAAAGGCGGAGGCGGTGGACCTTATTTTTCCGTTTAAAGTTTTGCTGTTGGTGGACGTTTCAACGACACCTTGCGCCGCTTTTAGATTTACTGTATTTTTGTTGTTTAAAAAAAAAAATTCATTTGTCTTTATATAATATTTATAATTAGAGAAATATTACATTATTTATTTGCTTAAGAGATTTAAAGGTTTATTCCAATTAAAATACTTATTTTGTATAAATAAAATATTTATTGAAATTCACTTTGTTTAAATTTGATCTCAAATCATATTTGAATGAAGGTTTAAATGAGATTTGAACAATATTCTACTAAATTTCTACATAATCTAATAATATTTGAATATGGTTTGAATAAAGTTCAAGTAAGATTCTTAAAATATTTAAGCAAGGCTCAAGAAAAATTTAAACTAGGTTTTAATTAAATTCAAACCTTGTATAAGTAGGGTTTTATTTAGGATTTGCACTTATTTTAACCGATTTGAAATAAGATATTATAATATGTGCTAGAACAATATGAATTTTATAGGGTTTAATATAACAACAAACAATCGTGATGACAAGTATTATAATATTAAGTAGAACCATTATATTATATTTCTACAAAAATTACATTAAATGTAATGAATTGTGAGATCACAATACCTAAAAAGTTTGAATGGAACATAAAAAAACTACAGTTGAAGTTTTCTTTCATTAAATTTATGATAAGAAAAATAATGTACAAGACGTCATAAAGGTGGCAAGCACTTGGTATTACAAGTAACTTAGTTACAATTATTCATATCACATCAATTTTCACCTGCAATGTACCAAATTTTTCTTTTTTCTTTGAAGGCCTTACAAGGGGAGAAAGAGTATATTGGGTCCTATTCCTAAGAATAAAGAAGATGCACAAGAGTGTGCACATTATACAGAAATGTGTCATACATTAAAATTATGAAAGACAATAATTGAAGATAGGTTATGACATGCTACAAAAATATCTCAAAATCAGCTTTGGATTCATGTCAAGCAAGTATACTATGGAAGCTATACAATTATTGAGAGGTTTGTTGGAAAAGTATAGATAGTAAGGATCATCAATGATAAAATTCCAAGAAAAGTATTTTAGATAGTTATAGAGAAGAGAGGTTCTGACATTACTTATATTCAAATTCTTAAAGATATGTATACTAAAGCTAATTCTTATGTATGAACACAAGCCAGATTGACGTAGTATTTATATCAAGGATAGCATTTAGGCCCATATCTTTGTGATTTAGTTATGGATGTTCTCGCTAAAAATTTATAGGAGTAAAGAAGAGTAAAGGTAGACCTAAATAGATTTGGGCATAAAACATGATGTTACTTTCTTTGAATTAAATGAAAGTACGACACTCAATAAGACACAATGGAGAAAAAGGATTCGTGTAGCCAACCCCACTTAGTGGGGTAAAAGCTTGTTGTTATTGTTGTTGTTGTTGTTGTTTGAAAGCCTTATGCTATTTGGGTAGTCTCTCTACGACTTCACCATTACTCGTAGCACGAAATTGCTTATGAATTCATCTTGAACTCGAATGTTTGACCCTAATTCAATTTATATATATATATATATATATATATATTCAGTGCAAGCAGGCAACCATCTTTTCTACATCCAAATTTTTTAATATATGTTTTCATAATTGACACCCAAATCCTAAGCTGCAATCAATGCTAGTTGAATGAGACGAATATAATATAAAACTCCTTACAAGTATAAATCTTCTAATGCAAATAAACATCAATGCTAAAATTAAATTGGTTAATAGATAGATAATTAATGTTTAAGCTATATTTAAGAGCTCTCCTGATGCGTTTTTTATTTTCTTAGCTAAAATGGTTTTTATAGCTATTGGAATAGTATGTCTATCAAAGAATTATTTAATAAATAAATAAGCATGAGTCCTCCTCTTAATGTCAACTTCATTTTCTAAATGACTGGCTATGGTTAGATTCATCTTTAGTTTGCCAATGTGCCACTAATATTCAACACTTTTATGTGTTTTTGAAGCAAGTGAAATTACTTATGATAGTTATGAAGTTTGAAATTTATAATGATATTTATTACAGGGTGACAAGTGGATTTACTTTTGAAAATACTACAAAATAAAGCTTTAACAATATTGCTATGCTCATAAAAAAAAATCAACCAAATCTATTGATTTTTTCAATCAAATCTTAAAATACATCTATTAATCTTTATTTTATTATTTAACAACAATAAAGGTTATTGGATAAAACTAAGTATGAACATCTTATGCAATTAACATTAGCAAAATAACTCAACATATTATATTAAAAATTATTCCAATTGCTCTTAACATTATATGGTATGCTCTTTTGGAACCTTATATGTAAACACCTAATAAAATCAAATAAACTTTAAACATTTTTAAGTGGCAAGTTGAAGATCAAAGATTGTCATTGGAATAACCTCGAAAAATATTATACTCATCGAGAGTTCATCATTTCACTAAATGTTGAATTCATTTGCACACCAACATCGCTATAGCCTGTCTCATCTCTTTTACTACATGTTTCCATTCATTTTTCTCTTTTTTTATTTTAAAAGGAGTCGTCAGCTTATCGATAATCATATACTTTCCCATTCAAATAAATCTCCCTCCCAAATCAAATCAGTAATTCGAAGAGCAGATGAATATAATAGAAAAGAGGCATACGACAAAATGACAAATAAAAGAAAAAACAAAAAATGGAGAGTCTATGTGCAATAAACCTCACAAGGAAAGGTCAAGAATGTCCTCCTAAACATGACTGAGTGGAGGTACCTTAGACCAATATCTGCGAAAGAAGTATCTACGCAGACTACCCATAATCAGAGAGTCATGTGTATGTACTTGTTATGGGGTCAATAGCACTCCCAAAGGAACGTATTGCTACTGTTAATTACATCTTGGGGGATACTCCAGAATACTCTCGATAAAAGAGATTTCGCTTATATTACCTTTGACTTGGGGCAATAGATCACCAAAGGAAGGTTATTTGGTGTAGGAAAGTCCCGATGCTTCAAAGCTCACGCTAAGCCATCAGGCGGAGAGTGAGTCTCTCATATCCCGAGTGGGTAGCAGCTCATCAGCATACGGAGCCCATGAATACCATAATCATCTTGACGGGGATATCTCTACACATCAAAGCAGGCCCGGGCCATAAGTGCAAATGATAAATCATTATATCCCAAACGGGCTGCAGCTCTTCAACATCGGGTCATCAAGATGATATCGACGAAGTCAAGGAGCGACAGAGCTCAAAGGGACTCAAAAAGAGGAAGGCAAAGTGATATTAAAAGGTAGAGTTCACTGGTTTATGGTACCATGGATCTATCATACACAACTACTAGGACCCTAAGTCTACCCGGTCGTGAAGGTAGTCAACTAGTCGACCCAACACGTCCTGAGATCCTTGATCAACAATCCGTGAATTTCATCACCCAAGGGGATCTCGGTAGCCCAAAAATTAAATGAAAGAAATTCTATCCTATGACTATCAGCTGGAGCTCCAAGAGGTGGGACTTATACCCATCGAAGTCGCAAGGATGTCTCAAGAAAGAAGAGAGATGGAGGTTCAACTACAAAGCTGAAAACAACTCCGAACAAAAAGCTTACACCCTGCCTTGTTTGGGGGATCTTCTAACACCCTAGGCGCACTAGACAACCACCTATAAATAAAAAGGTATGCTAGGCTAGTAGGGTTGGAGAAGCACGGGGGCACCTCCTCGGGACATATAAATATGAATGTAATTATTTGAAGCAATCCTTAAGTATTGTGGAGTTCCTATTAATATGAATTGGGTTATGTCCATGCATGCAATTCATTTAAAATATGGCTCGAAGGCAAAGTAGAAAAATAAAAGTGCAAATTTTAAAGCCATGAATATTTTAGTCCTAAAAATTCATTTATCTTGAAAAAATATTAGGATTTTATGTCTTAAAGTGTCTATATTACATCATGATTCCCAGACAAACCACATAAATAAACAAGAAAATATCCACACATGCAGGCATGTAATAAGGTAGGAAACAAGTCAGATGAAATAATAAATGACCAAGTGTCACTATGACGACAACATATCTCAAGAAAGAAAAATGTGGTTAGACTCCGCATATACATGTGAGGTCCTAATTCTATACATCATTATCAAATGTAAAATTAAGATATGGGACATAAGCATCAGGTCCTGGTCCCCTCCAAACACCTTAAAACTCATGCCCATATCTTATTTTTGCTATATGACTCTCCTAGACTCTAAAAAGTACATAAAAAAGAGAGAAAAACTCAACCTGCATGAAAATAAATGTTAGCGAGAAAGCCAACACATGCAACGTATAACGAGTCATGCCTTATAAGTTGGGGAGATAAGTAGAACCTGCAAGTAAAAGGGTGAGAAATCATTACATGCTCCCCCATACCGATACCTGTGTGTGAATATACAGACACGACTTTCTGCAGAAAAGTGCCTTAACACGCCATCATACATTTTGAGCATGCAAGAACACTAAAATCACAAAGCAAGAAAGTTGTCTGGCTAGAGCAACTAATCCAGCAAGTAATAATAGTTGAGTATCAAAAAAGACTATCTAGCACCCTAGATCCTAGCCTAACACCCCATCTAACGAAAAGTGTCCTAACCTAGTGATGCGGGTAGATTTAGTGTGTAAATTTTGCAAATAACTTTCAATATTACAAAATAAACACGATAGATATAACAATAAATATGCAATATAATCCCAACAAAAATGCCTTTTTATGAAAATAGTTTATCTTTAAAACACTTTTTAAACTATCAAATCCTTTTTAAAATCAAATCAAATTCCCTTTAAAAATAATGCAAGTATACGTATCGCTCAAGTAATAAAGGGCTCTAATGGAGTCCTACATATCAATCCTACACGGAAGTTGGAAAAACCTATAAGTAAATTCATAACATTATTTTATAATTTAAAAATACAAAAATAAAAGTAAAGTGCGAAGTTTGAATATTAACTACTAAGGTGAATGCTATATAAAATGCAATTGAAAGACAGA